CCCGCTCCCAGCCCCCCACCCCCTCCCTGCCCCACGCTCCCCACCTCGCTCCACCTCCCTGCCCCAGCCCCGTCACCCCCTGCCACTCCACCTCATCACCTCCTGCCCCATCCGCTCCAGCCCCATCACCCCTGTCCTCCCCACAGCCCCGCTCCACCCTCCTGCCCCCAAGACGCTCAGCCCCCAACCATTCCACCCTCACCCCCATCAACCCTAGACTCCTCTGCCCCAGCACTGTTCTCTTTTGCTCGCCCCAGACACTCACCCACCCATCAACACCCTGGCCCCCAGCCTTCCTCCACTCCCCCCTCCACACACCCCTGCCTCTCCCTGGAAACCCCTGCCTCCACACCCTCTCTGCCACCTCCTGCCCACCCCCATGGAACCCCCACCACTCATCTCCACCTCTGTCCTCCCTTCCCGTCCATCTCCACCCCATCCCAGGGAGTGGGGACTGTTAATCCCAAGGCACATTTGTCCCTCTCTAAACACACCCTCCCCGCACATGCCCCATCTCAGCAGGGGATGGGGGTTCTGTGTCTGTGCATTTATCCCCTGGCCACTCAGCGGCACCCCCGAGAGGGGTAAGGCCTTGTGTGCCATCCTGCTCCCCAGCCGGTGACCTTTGCTGACTTACACAAGTGGCTAGTGAGTTCCTGGGGGGGGGGAGGGAGGAAAGAGCCCAGAGCCCCCCGCAGAGGTGTGGACACCCTGATAGCCTTCCCCAGTGTTAAAGCTGGACATGGTCCAAGGAGAAATGCAGCATTGTTTTTAACCCTGAGGTTAATTAACCCTGGGACCAAACAGCCCAGGGTCTCCAGCTCCAGCCTGGCTACCTTCGGGAAGATGCTTCAGTCCAGCACCCGTGCCTAGGCTCAGCACCGGGGGTGAGGGGGTGACATTCTCCGGCCTGGGCCCCCAGACTAGCTGGTCTCATGGTCCCTTCTGGCCTGAAGATCTATGGATCCGTGTTGGATACACGCACACCAGGGTGGATCCCAGGCATGAGACTGTGGCTTCCCCCCGCTGGAACTTCAAACCTGTTCTGGAGGGTCTTGGCTCACAGCCCTCCCCCTGCCCTAACCCCTCAGACTCCCCTCCCCTCCCAGAGCTGGGAACAGAACCTAGGAGTCCTGACTCCCAGCCCCCCCTGCTCTAACCACTAGACCCCCTCCCCGAGTTGGGCTAGAACCCCGGAGTTCTACGTGGAGCTCTGGGAGCTGGGGCGGGGCAGCGGTATGGTATGGTGCCCCCAGGGCCTCACTCAGGAATGGGGAGGCACAGACAGAGCAGCCCCCTGGGGAAGGGATTAGCTGCACGGACGCTCCGGTTTTCTGTCTGAGCTGGCACTGGGCCCCTGTGCAGGTCGTCTGGAGAACAGAGACATGTGGCGTGGGGAGGGGGAATGGGAATCAGGACTCCTGGGTTCTATCCCAAACAAACTTCCACCAACATGTATCCCTTGCCCCCAGAGTGCTCACTCAAGACTTTGGCCCTTCATTTCCTATTTACATTTTAGAGTCAATTATGGTAAATGGAATCAATGACACAGCTGTGGCCCTCAATCCTGGCCCATAGCCCCCTGCTAGCCCAGCCCTAGCCCCACCCCTCACCTTCCCAGTTCTGCCAGCGCTCCTCAATCCTGGTTCACAGCCCCCTGCTAGCCCACTCCTGGGCTCCCCACGAGCTGTATGCAGGGCTGTAGCAGTGTGTGGGGTGAAATCTCATTAGGTTTGTTCAGCTCCGGGGTCTGTGTTTCTCCCAAAGCCATGCGTAGATCTGAGGGAGCCCCCCACATCTGGCAGTTTCCCCATAGCATGGGTCACCTCAAAGATGAGTCCTGGAAGGAGCTGAATTGTGACCATGGGGAGGCAGCAACTCCTGGAAACGGCTCCGCCACAGCCGCCCACGGACGGGGAAGGGAAAACCGGGCTGGCACTGTAGCTCCAATCCAGGGGGTGTTGATGGTGGGGATACCAACCGGGCCCGTGGCTCCGATTGGGGATGGGCTGGGGATACCAGGCCGAGCCCATGACTCCGATCCAGGGGCAGGGTGGGGATACCAGGCTGGGCCCTGGTTCTGATCCACGGAGTGTCGGTAGTAGCGATACTGGGTTGGCCCCATGGCTCCGATTGGGGGCTGGTGGCAATGGGGATACCGGGCCAGGCCCGTGCTTTGAACAAAATCCAAACAAAAACTCAAATCCAACAGTTGGCTCTTCCATTTATTTTCCAAAATGAGCTAAAACTCCGAAGATGGAGAGAGGGAATCTTGGGGAAGGCAGCGCCCGGCCCTGGGGAAGTGGCAGGGGAAGGGGCCTTCACATCAGGGCTCCCAAGATGCAGCCCAGGTAAACAGAACCAGGGCAGAGGGATCTGGCAGAAGGATCAGTGGCAGAGCAGGGCATTTAAAACATTCAGGGCTCCCCCTGCTTGTCAGTCGTGGTACATCTTAAGCAAGCAGGATTTGATGGTGCTCATGTACCGATCCCAGAGAGCCTGGTGCCTGCGGGTAAAGAACTGGGATGTCAGACAATAGCACCGAGACGCGTCCACCTCTGGGGTGGGCATGGAGGCTGTTTATACAGGGACCCCTTGCCTGGAGTGGAGATGCAGCTGCTCTGGGGTGGGGTATGGGGCTACATATAAGGGGTTCTGTCACCTGGTGCTAAGATGCAGCCTTCTCTGAAGTGGGGAGCAGAGGCTGTTTATGAAGGGATCCCTCGCTTGGTGCTCAGATGCAGCTGGCTCTGGGGTGGGGCTTCTGGTTAACAGCTGCCATTAACGCTACCCTCGAGTTTAAGACAGGAAGAGTCTGTGTGCAGTGATTTTGGTGGTGGTGGCCCCCACGTCCCTGGTGGGCGGCACTTACCGGAAGGCGTCCAAGTTGTGAGCGGATGTCGTGTACTGCGTCAGGAAGAGACGGACGTCGTTCAAGGTCCACTTATCTGACTTGCAGGGCTCAATGAACTGGGGAGAAAGGGGAAAAGGAGTCAGACAGCCTGCATCCTGGGGGCAACACCCCACAACCTCAATCTCACCCTCACCCCCTGCTTGCTGGGAATTGGGACTGGCTGGCTCAGGGGGTTGGGGAAATGGGACCTGGGGCATTTCCCCTCTAGGTGCCTCTCTAAGTCTATAATTCCCCATGTGGGGTGAGCTGATGGGTCTCAGCCCAGTTCCCAACGGGCCAGAGTCCCCAGTATAGTCCCCCTCCCCGTCCTGGGCACTAACCAACTTCCTGCCCCCACCAGCATGGAAGCTGGGGGGTGATCAGGCCATGAAGGTCAAATCTCCCTCTTCCCAGGCATGAAAGGCAGCATGTGTTCTGGGGGCTGGCTTCGGGGGTGCCCAGGAGTGCCATGCCACCCCCAATTCACCCACAGACATTAAATCCTGGCGGTGGAGAATCTGAGAAGTCTATGTGTGTGGGGGGGGGGAGAAGGAGTTGGTATATATGGGGCAGTGTATGGGGGTATGTCCACCAGTCAGTGAAGCCTCCTGTGTCTGGGTGCGGGGGGCCATGACCGCGGGGGGGGGAGGGAATGGGATGGGTGGGGAATGCGTGCAGGGTGCATGCGAGGTGGTACCTTTTCCACTAGGTCGATGAAGAAGTCACGCACGTCCTTGGTGTGGATCAGCTTAGAGGCCATATTGACCAGTGCCCGTGACAGGTTCTGTGGGGCCCAGACAGGTCACCAGAGAGTCACGAGAGCCCTCACGCCTCACAGATCTGCGCAGTTACAAACCGCTCTCCCCTGCCCCCCAATTCACACACAGGGGAAGGGACTCACCAGGGTCGCTCAGTGAGTTGGTGACTGAGCAGGGGAGAGAACCCAGGAATCCTGCCTCCCAGTTCCAAGCTGGGAGAGGGGTAGGGGCCGAGGGTGGAGCTGGGGACACCCGAAAAGGAGAGGAGGATGGATCTGAGGGGAGGGTGTCCATGGCCCCAGTGCCCCCAGGCATTGTGGGGCCAGGCAGCCTGACTCAGAATCCCCCTCTGGTGGATGCCTCAGGCATGGCAGGTGCAGATGGAGGTGGGGGGTTCAGGGGGTCCAGAGCAGGAGGCTGTGGCACCAGGCAAGCCAGGCCATGGGCTCCAGCTCTTCACTGGCACACGGGGGACCCATGTGATCAGGTAACGCAGAGGAAATGCATTGATAGGTGTTGCCAACGGGGGGCACCACTCAGAAGCCTGGCCACTGAAGGGGGCTTCTTGAACCAGGCAGGGGGAATCCTCCCTCCACATTCCCATTACTCCCTCCTTGTGCTCCACCCCTGGCCCCAGGACACACCTTGAAGTTGGCCTCCATCTCGTTGTACACTGAGATCTTCCCGCGCAGTGACGTGCACACCAGGCTGCAGAGGGACAGAGAGGTCAGGGGCCCGCTGCCAGCTCTCCCCAGGCCTGGGGCCAAGAAACGGCATCACATATGGACAGAACAGACACCCCCAAAAATGCTACTTCTCCCAGCTCCACCACATGCACTACAACACAGACCACATGGAGAAGAGAACCCAGGAGTCCTGGCTCCCAGCCCCGCCCACATCAGGTTTGTACCTCTTATGCAGATCCAGCAGATCCTTATCCGCGATCAGCACCTTGAGCTCCTTGAGTTCCTGCAGGAATTCCTTATCCAGATCCACGTCCATGTCGTCCACATTGGAGTCTGGGGGGAACAGGTGGACAATGGGAGAAGGCTTTGGGGTGGGGAGGAGCTGTTTCTACAGGGATCCGTAACCCAGCACTGATTTGCAGCCACCTCTGGGCTGGGGCGTGGGGGCTGGTTACACAGAGGCGGGAATAAGTCTGGGACCACAGTGGGTAGCTCCCCGTTCTAGGGGAAGTCCAGCTGATGCATTTCC